GACCCATAGAGGTCCCCTCCAGCCCCTACCATTCTGTGATTCTGTGATTCTGTGAAAAAGGACGATGGATGATGTCCCGCGGCCCAGCCTGGGAGACGTCTGCAGGCAGGAGAAAGCCCTCGTGCCCTTCCCACTCACAATTAGCGCAGATGAGGGGGTTTTTTTTTTTGCAATACTCTGCAGGAGGGAAGCCACCAGGCTGGCTCTGACCTCAGAGGGTGGCAGGAGAGAGGTGATGGACATCGGTGAAGACGGGGAGAGACCCTCAGCTACACCCGGTAAGGAACAAGCAAACGGGGAGCGCGCGGACTTACCGCTGTGTAAGGACATGTGCCGTGTCGGCGTGGACGCCCCATCAAATATTGCTCTGTCCAAGAAGTCTATCGTGGACTCAGTGTAAACAATCTGGAAGACTTGGCTGAGAAGGGAGCACAGCTCCTCGGCAGTCACCTGGGGAGGGAGCAAAGAAGGGCTGGTGGAAGGCAGAAGATACCGTGGTGCCCCTTCCCTTCGGCTCCCTACACCGTGGGATGTATTTTTGAGTGTTGTCATCTCAGCAAGGACAGGAACCTGCTCACCCAAGACCCACGACACAGCCCAACCAGGATTTTGTATCTCATTAGCTACCTCCCGCCATCCCCTTGGGTTTTCCTCGGCGCTAGAGGAGACGAAGTCCCGAGATCTACCACCCCTCACCACAGCTCCTGAGATCTACCACTCCTCACAACTCCTGAGATCTACCACCCCTCACCACAACTCCTGAGATCTACCATGCCTCACCACAACTCCTGAGATCTACCACCCCTCACCAGAACTCCTGAGATCTACCACACCTCACCACAACTCCTGAGATCTAATACCCCTCACCAGAACTCCTGAGATCTACCACTCCTCACCAGAACTCCTGAGATCTACCACTCCTCACCACAACTCCGGAGATCTACCACCCCTCACCACAACTCCTGAGATCTACCACTCCTCACCACCACTCCGGAGATCTACCACGCCTCACCACAACTCCGGAGATCTACCACCCCTCACCAGAACTCCTGAGATCTACCACCCCTCACCACAACTCCTGAGATCTACCACCCCTCACCACAACTCCGGAGATCTACCACCCCTCACCACAACTCCTGAGATCTACCACCCCTCACCACAACTCCTGAGATCTACCACGCCTCACCACAACTCCGGAGATCTACCACCCCTCACCAGAACTCCTGAGATCTACCACCCCTCACCACAACTCCTGAGATCTACCACTCCTCACCACAACTCCTGAGATCTACCACCCCTCACCACAACTCCTGAGATCTACCACTCCTCACCAGAACTCCTGAGATCTACCACCCCACCATGGTGCCAGAGAAGCATCCCAGCCCTCTTCAACCAGCCAGACCCAGGCAGCGGGAGATGGGACGCTCCGTCGTCAACTCGCAGCCACGGAACAGCACCCAGATTTCGTCTTGGTGCTCTGTTCTGCTCCTGTTTGGCTCCCCGGGATTTCGTCTACATAACCTACATCCCAAATAGGTGCAGGCACCCCAGAGAGCCGAAAACCAGGCGAGCAAAGCTCCACCCTGCAGGCCAAGGGTTCCTGCTGTAGAAGCTGGAGCACACAGACCGAGAATCTCTGGGTGCAGGCACCGGACGAAACAAATTTCCATGACAACGTCAGGAAAACGCCCCGGTTAGCAAAATCCTATCATGGGAGAGATTCGCTTGTCTTCACAGATCTCCTGCTGCTGGAGAAAGCTCTGGGCAGCAGGCACCACCACCAAGAGAAACCCATCTTTTGATACCCTCTCGTGTCCAAACTGGGTCCCGGGTCTTCAGCAGGGACCAGGTTTCCTCCTCCGCACAGCACTTCGTGCGCCAGCAAAGCCCCACGCTCACCCCGCGGTCTTAAAACCGGGCCGACGCGTGTCGCACAACCTACGGCCAGGTAAGCTCCTGGTCACCTAACAGAGGGGACGTTTGTTGAGAGCAGGATGAGGCCACCCCGGGGCTCATGGCTTTCCACCACCAACCTAAGAAGATGTGGCCAACTCGGTCTAAGAGCAAGAAAACCTCCCGGCAATCCCAGTCCCAGCGTCATCGCAAGCGGAGAGTGGCTCTGGAGGCAACCTCAACGTGGGTGGGAGTCTTAATCGAGTGTTTGGAGTCTTACTTTGTTCTCCGTAGCCAGGACCACCAAGCAACAAGCTTCGACGGGGACCACCCCGCTCTCCGACAGCGAGCCTGAAGTCAGAGCTTTGGAGCTCTCGGCGCAGAGACTCTGGCTTGGGGAGATCCCGGGGTCCTGAGCTGAGGGAGAGAGAAGTTACCTCAACGTGGGTGGGAGTCTTAATCGAGTGTTTGGAGTCTTACTTTGTTCTCCGTAGCCAGGACCACCAAGCAACAAGCTTCGACGGGGACCACCCCGCTCTCCGACAGCGAGCCTGAAGTCAGAGCTTTGGAGCTCTCGGCGCAGAGACTCTGGCTTGGGGAGATCCCGGGGTCCTGAGCTGAGGGAGAGAGAAGTTGTGAGCCAGCAGCGTGCCCTGGCTGCCCAGAAGGCCAGTGGTCTCCTGGGATGCATTCAGAGGAGTGTGGGCAGCAGGGCGAGGGAGGGTCTCCTCCCCCTCTGCTCTGCCCCACTGAGGCCCCATCTGCAGTGCTGTGTCCAGTGCTGGGCTCCCCACTTCAAGAAAGATGAGGAGCTACTGGAGAGAGCCCAGCGCAGGGCTACGAGGATGAGGAGGGGACTGGAGCATCTCTCCTAGGAGGAGAGGCTGA